CGTGAAAGTTTTGGCGCGAAAATCGCCAACTCGGGAACGAGAAAAGCTAGAAAACTGAAACCTTGGGAGAATGTTCCCTACTCGTGTCTGACAAAAACATTTCAAATTCAGCTACCCAGGAGTGCCCGGGGTTTACGTACAGGCACGTGAAAATTATGGCGGGAAAAGTCACAATTCGGGAATGAGAAAAGCTAGAAAGTTGAAACTTTGGTGTAATATTTCCTACTCATGCACGACCAGAAGTTTACAAACTCAGCTCCTTTGGACCTCCCGGGGCTCACTTTCCGGCACGTGAAGATTTTGGCGCGAAAATTACTAACTCGGAACGGGAAAAGCTAGAAAGCTGAAACTTTAGGGTAATGTTCCCTTCTCATGTGTGAGTAAAGGATTTCAAATTTAGCTCCTTAAAACCGTTTGGCACTCACATGCGAACACGAGAAAATTTTAATGGGGAAACTGCCAACTCGGGGACGGGAAAAGCTGAAGGCTTCAGTTTTAAGGGAATGTTTCCAGCTCATGTGCGACTAAAAGATTTCAAATTTAACTCTTCTAGTGCGGCCTTTTTCGTGGACCAGCAACTTTTCATTTGCCGGGTCACTGAATTCGACATCTACAACTGACATACCACACAACTGCATAATTAACTTCCCGAACTTCAAGGGCCAGTATGTGACAGGGTTAGCAACTGTGATTTCTTATGATCTTGCTACGGCACGAAAAGTTCAAAAACGCATGATCGCATCGGCCCGCCTGGTGCGTTCCAGCCTGAGTTTGGCGGGAAAGCGATCTCAGTAACCAAACAAGATAAGGGGCTGAAACTCTGTAGGAAAGTTTCTTGTGCATTTGTAAGCTAAATATTTCAAAATCAGCCTCCAGACATGCGTGATACTCATGTAAGGGCGTATGAAAGTTTCTGTGGGAAAATTGCTAGCTCGGAAACCAGAAAAGCCAGAAAACTGAAATTTTAGAGGAATGTTCTTTGTCCAAGTACAACTTAAGTATTTCAGATTCAGCCTTGAGGTATGGGTAATTCTTATGTACCGGCACTTAGAAGTTTTGGTGGAAAAATTTCTCACTGAACAGCTAGGTTACTTTTAAAAAATGACTGTTAAATGGGGATTGTACATTTACTTTGTGCAAAATTTATGGTGATTTATACTGGTGACAGCAAGAGGTAGATGTAAAGCAAAAACCAGTCATGCACATAATGACCTGAGTACAAGTCCGGTGCAAAAACATACGATCGCACGGGCCCGCCCAGTGCGTTCCAGCCTGGGTTGTATTATATATATGTAGTTTGCAAAAGCCCATATTGGGAAGAAGCTGTCTGTGTGCGTGTCTGTGTGTTCGCAGTTTTTGTCACCCATTTTCGAGAACCAAAAAAGCTAGAAAGCTGAAATTTTGGTAGTATGTGCCTATACCATACGCGACCCTCCAGTTTTAATATCATCCCCCGCAGGCGCTTAAGTGCCGCCTACGGACACTTTAAAAAATATGCAGATTTTTTGGCGGGAAAGCGGTCTCGGAAACCAGGCAAGGTAAGGGGCTGAAACTCTGTAGGGATATTCCCTGTGCATGTGTTAGCTAAAGATTTCAAATTCAGCTTCCCAGAAATGCTTGGTACTCATGTAAGGGCATATGAATGTTTTAGCAGGAAAATTATTAACTCAAGAGCCAGGAAAGCTAGAAGGCTGAAATTTTGGGAGAATGTTTCCTGTCCAAGCACAACTTAAATATTTCAAATTCAACTCTCAGGTTTACGTGTTCTCACATATGAGCACATGAAATATTCGGAGGGGATATTGTTAACTGGATAACTAGAAAAGCTGGAAGGCTAAAATTTTAGGGGGATGTTCCGTTTTCACGAGCAGTTTAAAGGTTTCGAATTCAGCTTCCCGCGCGCATGGGCTAGTCACGTACAGGCATGTGAATGTTTTGGCGGGAAAATTACTATCTCGAGAATCAGAAAAGCCAGAAAGCTGGAATATTGGGAGAATGTTCCCTGTCCAAGTACAACTTAAATATTTCGAAATCAGCCTTCAGTTAAGCGTGATTCTCACGTACGAGCAATTAAAATTTTTGGCGGGGAAATTGCTCACTGGACAGCTAGGTTACTTCAAAGAACGACTGTTAAATAGAAATTGTACATTTACTTCATGCAAAATTTATGGTGATTTACGCTAGTGAGCACAAAAGGTAGGTGTAAAGCAACTACCATTCATACAGTTAATGACCTGAGTACTTCAAGTCTGGTGCAAAAACATATGACCATACTGGCAAGCCTGGTGCGTTCCAGCCTGAGTTTTATTTGCACTAACGGCTGTGCGCACTCGTGGTGATATCTGTGTTCATAGAGCTTAGCTTACTTGTGCTGCTGTTGCTGACCTAGCTGATACATTCATTATTCCAGCCTGGGTTGCATTTGCATACATGCAAAAACGTACAATAATTGGCCAACGTGTTGCAAAGGGAAAAAAAAGGAGCGAGAAACAAAGAAGCGAAGTTGGAGGCTCATTCCCCTTCGCCTTGTCCAGTTGCCCTTCGGTTTCCTGTAATATGTAAATTCCCCGTCTCTTAGCTGGACTTCCCCCCTCCGTGATATTTAATGTGATAATTGAAAATGAAATGTTGAGTGTAAAATTGTTGTTTTTGGGCGGTGGCTGAAAGTATGCGGCTGCAGCTTGGAGCTGCTGCCGGGCGATTTCTGGCTAGTTGTTGTTTTTTTTGATTTTTTCTTGATATTGATCTAATAAATAAATTTTACCTGGTGTTGC